TATATATATCTCAGAATCAGTGTCTGATTCTGATTCCCTGTTTTCATGGCAACAGGAAATATCAAACAAAACTTGCATGTGATAATCAAACAATCAGAGCTTTATTCTCTATTTCAGAGTCCCAGCTTATCCTCACAGTAACTCATTTCCTCTAGCACAGCATCCATATACATTTCACCCTTTGAGCAGACCCTCTGTGTCTTGATATGTCGGTTTTATTGTGCTTGAATGCTGCTTAATAAAGGTTATTACTGAAACTGAAGCACTTCCTCTAATTCAGCTCTCTCTGGAAGTTATAGCTACATTTGTGCTGGATGTAAATGACATATTTTCTAGGTTGCAAATGTAAAACTACAACAATGATGGTCACTGATAAAAGTGTAGAGTTTCTATCCATTTCAAGCTGCCTCCCTTCTCCTCCTGGCATTCATGTCTGTGGTGTCTGGATGGTCAATTAAGAAGAGCATGTATGGCTGATGTCCGTCTGAATCAACAACACAACTTGATATCAGTGTCGGGGTCCCTGAGCACTCAAAGGTCAACCTGACCTATCGACAGCCCCGCTGAAACCTGAGCCTTTAAACGGCTGACCAGGGATGTGCCTGCAGCACTCACGCAAATATGAAAGAGAGCACTTCATGGAAACATGGACGCACACACACGCACACACACGCACACACGCGCACATGCACCATATGTCAGTGTCTTTCTTTGACAGAAAACCTGAATGCTGTCACTGTTTCTCCATATGCAGAATAAAATGGGCAGACACAGAAGAGAAGAACAGTTTCTCACAAAATCATAAAATAAAAGAAACCTTCAGAACTAAATTCTATAAAAACTCTGTTTTCCACTTTGTTTAAACTCTGCTTAGCATGTGGGCAAAGTATTTCATTTAGAGGTTTGGGATGAGCTGTTGTCATTTTAAGACAGTCATCATCTGTTAGATATCACATTATTCAGACTAGTGTTAGTTTTTGTGGATACATTGATATATATTTGATTCACCTTTGGCCTCCTTTTATTGTAAAAATGTGCTCCTAATTTAATCAATAACAAAAATAAACCTGCGATTCGTAAAACTGCTCCGGTTTGCTGTGTGTTTTCTACTTTTACTGACAGACTCTGTGCATCTGCACATTTTACTTTTTCTTTTAACTGAGCGCTTATGTTCTTTTATTGGGCCTGAAGTTTTGCTTGTCTTTATGCTGTCTTGAAATAAAATTGCAAAATAGGATGGATTAGTTTCTACACATTGTTTTTAGG